CGGCTTTGTAATATCATTACCATCATCATCTTTTAGCATGGTAATCTTGTTTCTCAACTTTCAATGCATAGTAGAAGCGTGAAAGAATTTAGTGTTTTGGTCGCCTTCCCTAAGTCAGTTAAATCTTGATCTTTGACTCCATAAAAGCTAATCGTCTTCCCAAATGGAAGCGAGTTCATTCATTAGCTCTTTCTCTTCAATTGCAATGCTTTTAGTTTTGTCCAACTTAAAAATATCATCCAATCTTCTTTCAATATCCTTGGACCTTTTATTTTGTTCTTCAAAAATTTGTTTTGCCCAACTCGTCAGCTCTTTCTCACACTTAGCTACTCTTTCTTGACATTTTGCTCCATCATCCCATATTCGAATAATAATATCATTGCATTCCTCTATTGCATCATGCAGGCATCAAATCGGAACAGACTTTAGCTTTGCGTCGACTTCCTTCAAACTCAAATCTTAAAGGGATGTGATCATGTGTCAAGAGGTAATCCATTGAATATAATGACACTGATGTATAACTAGAACCAGGATGGTGAATATAAGCCTCGATCGAGCCTTTCCTTAATACGCCCTGGACACTCTTGGTTGCTCTTCCAAGTGTATGGGTAACCCTTAAAGCCAATATTCAGTAATAAGTTCTCAGCTACAAAAGACTTGAAAGGGATAAATGAATCGTTCCTAAGAGAGCTACCTCCTACTTTTTCATCGGAAAACAAAATGGCATTCATATCGCCAATAACCACCCATTTGTCATTAGTACTACTCCTAAGCCTGTTGATCCCAAAATTTTGTCCTCCTAGCAGGATCAGAAGGGGCATGGCCAAAAGTGATGAACCCCCATTTACATCGACAAAAGCACCAATAAAATCAGGAGTGGGCAACGGAAAACGAGTATTACCCTTCCCTTTTTTTAGGATTACGGGTACGCAAATACCCGTAATTTTTTTACACGATGAGACATGAAATTAAGAAATTCTATAATGGGTACCCACGGGTTACCAATTAATACCCATTTGGATATTATGGGTACCCACACTACCCGCCCACCCAAATTATTTGAGCCCAACTTTGCTAGTTGCATGATGCACCAAATATTTTATTCCCGATCTAGAACATTAGCAACTTTGCACGTTGGTCATGGTTGTAAATATTTCTCTTGTGTCTTCATTAATTGGGCATTCTTTTTCCACTTCACTGGAGCTTCTCAAGTTACAATAACGTAGTGGGAAATTCCCAGAAAATAGAAAGAACAAAAACAGTTCACACAATCAACTTTCAAGATTTCTTCAAACTCATGTTGCCTCTACCATATCAAGCAACTTCTTTAGTTCCTCATCTACTTCAATGTCATCTCCCTCCAACCTCTCACGCATACCAGGAGCTGATTCGCCAGCAGCTATGTAAGTCTTCAGCTACGAGATCATCATCATCATCATCATCTCTTGAGCCTTGAAGTAAGGCCCTGGCGTTGTGTTCTCACAAAACTAGTCAGCGATCGCCGGGATCGGAGTCTCCACTAGATGAGTCTCCGAGTTGAGTGGAATTTTTCGGATCCAGTAAAAAGGAACCGAAGAAAAAGCCAAAATAATGAAAACCACCCAACTTTATGGGTTATCCGTAGGTACCCGTTAAGACATACGGGTTTGTGACATGGGATGGAGTTTCCTCTCCAAATGGGACCGGGTACCCGTTTCAAATGAGACGGATACCCAATCCCGTACGTAAATTAGCAATCCACCATAATGCAAGACCACCAGGTCTCTCCACTGGATTGACATAGAACTTCTGAGCAAACGTCATATGTTGTCTCTTGTTTCCATATATGAATCTTTCTTCTTAGTCTCGGACAGAAACATAAATGATGGTCGGAATTCGTTCACCATCTTCCTCAACTGTATAGGGCTCTGCCCGAAGCCTCTATAGTTCCAAACCAGAGCATTCATGAGCCACCCAGTGGCTTGGGGTCGGCCACCATAACCGTAGAAAGATTGGGTTACAATTGTGGGGGGAACTCTGTATCATCAGTCGACCTTGCTTTCCCTGTATCCTCTTCACCCGCGCCAGAGTAGGGAGTCCCCTGTTCTCCATCAAAACATCCAGTATTGATTCAGTCTTCCTTTTATTTTTTGAGTGCAGGGGCTAATGGTTCGTGCCTTAGGATGGTGGCCTCGTGTTATGACTCTGCTTGGGATGAGAGCTGAGCTTGGGCCAGCTTGAAAGTAATTTTGGTTTACAGTGTAGTTTGAGTGCGCTGGGATGGTAAATGGGCTAGGGTTAGGGTTGAAAAGCCCAGAAGTTTGATTAGGGTGGCTATGAAAAGTTAGGGAAGGTAGGCGACAATTTGGAAGGAGAGATGACTCCAAATAGGTTTCTAGCGACATTCGATCCTAGCTGAGTGGAAGAACTTCCCTCTTGATTATGACCAAACGCATAGAAAATCTTAGGGGAGAGAGAAAAAATTGGGAAAGGGAAATTGTCTCTAGCAACGGGAAGTTCTGACCGTAGCTTGAAATTGGCGACTGGAACAAGGTAGGCGAGCGAATTAATGAAGGTAGGGTCAACTGGTTTAGGGGTTGGGAATCTTTGGCAATAGTACTCACCGGCGACGGGTTTGACTGTCCCGCAGGGGAGTGTGAGGTCGACGTCGCATCTCTGCCGAGAATCGCCTCCACCTCCTCCTGTTGGTTTGTTCGTGGTGAGAAAGGTGGCGAACTAGCCCTCGTCCAAGGACCCCATCTTTAGGTCAGAGGACGAGACAACCTCTCTTCTTCCTGCTTCTTTCTCCGCTCACAATCAATTCTGGTATGTTCAATCCTTCCATAATAGTAGCATAGTGAGTAGATTTTTTCATATTTAATCTCAATCCATGTTCTCTTTTGCTGGAGGCATATGTAGAACCCGTTTGAAATTGGTTTGTAGATGTCGCCTTTGACAAAAATTCCCACAAACTTACTATAGATATGAGACTAAAGAGAAGCTCTGTCGATGTTAGTGACCTTATGGAACATTCTGCACACCCTAGTGATATTTCCCTCAGTGCGATAGGCTTATGAAAGATTGTGTATCTGAATCCATAAAATTACTATCTTGAAGGATATGTCTCTTGCATTTTTAAGCCAGTCAGCCTGTTAATCTGCATAAGAGTACCAGAAATTGGATATGGGCGCTCCTCCTATATGACCTCCATCTCTATCTTCTCTTTAAAGTCGATGGCGAAGATGTTGTACTCCAAAGGATGGATTTTGGGCATCCCTTGAAGTCTTGGCTTGAAGTTGTCAACTCAAGATGATCTTATCATACCCCTCATTGCACGTAGGCTGATTTGTCGATCAAATAATATGTTCACCACCAAAGTATTGTGTCACGTGGCTCTTTCTTCATCTAGTACCATCTCAAGATCCCACTCTCCAGCCTGGTTTATCAGATCATTAATACTCATATTGTTGTTCATACTTGTTTTGGAAAGATGATTTCAGTTGCTGGAGAAGTTAAGATTGCAACACCAAGGTAGAAATACTGGTGGTTATTGTTTTGAGTATGCTCTTATAGATCTGGTAGTGAACTTCCCTTCTTCAGAGCCAACATTTAACGTAGTTGTAGGTGAGATTTGACTAGCCATTATGGTTGATGCAGAGTTCTCGCCTGTATTGAATGCTTCATCTGTTTTGAGGGGCTCCAAACCTCCTCCAGTAATTAGTAGGATGCTTTTGCATTATTAGCATACATCTTATAGGGGATGTAAGCTTTCTAGTTGTCTCATATGCAGGGGCATTAGACAACCTTAACTCCCTTAGTAGCAGGAGATGCCCAAGCTGTGTAATAACTTCATGATAGATTGATAGGACTTCATCAAGCTTTCCAGAGATACTTTCAAATAGATAATGTGACTTTTCACCATCAGGGAAGATCTTTGGAACTTTTCATAGAGGAGGAAGACAAATCATCTAGCTAGATACCTGAGGAGCAGAGAATAAAGATGAGTGCCTTTGACTTTGGAGTTGGTTTTCCCTCGTTGTGGTTCTATACCCAAGTTACCATTTTTTTATCTAAAGTTCTTACTTTCCCCACCTATCATTTAAAATGGTAGGGAGTGAGAGAATCCACAACCATCAATAGTAATCAATTTAAATCCACTGGAATAGGAAATTACAATCTATCAATTTTACTCAAATGTCTTATTTTGAGTCAATTCTAGCTATCCTCGAGAGTGACTTATAATTCGAATTTGATGGTTCATATAACTCACATGAACTTAGGGGTCGTTTGATTTTGGTGATTGTTTGGCTGGGATAATTACAATACACGCATTGTCTACAATGCATTGTTTTTTTGAATTTTCTGCACAAACAATACATGCATTGTTTGCTTGATGTGATATAAACTATCACTCGAAATGAGTGATAGTAATATCTCTATTAAAATTTGAGATTGTTGAGATAGTTTTACGTAGATTGTTAGATTCCTTTTTTTGTTACAATTATACCCCTAGTTTTATACATATTTCTAAATAAAAACAAGGACAAAAGTGATATTTCCCACAAAAAGTAATATAACTTGTTGAATACTAAAATAACTATCACCAAAATCAAACAATGCAAAGTATATTACATCATTTTTCTTAATTACATGTATATTACAATGCATGCATTGATAAAATACATTATAATTTAATTATTAACAAAACCAAACGACCATTAGTATAAATCACTTGTTTTATTTAGTTTTTCAATTGACCAAATACGACCAAATCTAGGAGAGAGGGTTTTCATTAGAGCTGACAGAGCGTGCGATAATCAGAAACAAAAACCATTTTATTTTTTAATTATTAGGAAGAAACGTTTTCATTAAGCCCCAAAAATGGAAATATTAATCTGATACAAAAATTGGAAAAATTAATTAAGACAAGGGAGAAAACAAAAGAATCATGCTCTACTCAGCGTCAGCGCTCTCCTTAAGTCCTAACCCGACATTGGAATTGGACTGGGAGCGGAAAAAAGAAAAAAAAAAACCCATGTCCAAATATTTTTCAAGAGATAATATTAATATAATAATATTTTACATAATCCGTACAACCTGACAGCGACCACTGAGGCATGGTGGCACATGCCTGGTGTCATATCATTCCTCCCAAATCAACGGCTCGGCGCCTCCCAGTACGGATCCCCTCAACGGTCCAGATCTCCACTTTCCTCCCCTCCTAACTTTCTCTCTCTAGACCTCGGTCCAGCTCTGGTCGGCTCTCCTTATTATTATATCTGCTGGGCAAGGCAAAAAAAAAAATTATTAATAATAAAAAGGCTCCGTCTCTCTCTACTGCAACTGAGTCCACAGCTCCCTGAGCCACCGAGCTCGATTCTCAATCGAGAAAGTGATAGCTCTGCTCTGCTCTGCTCTGCTCTCTCCTCGCGGACTCACTGAAACAGACAAGAGGGAGAAGTGAAGCAAGCGGGTGAAAAAGGGGGAAATAGCTTTCCTTTTTTTCCCCCACTCCTTTCCTTTTTTTTTTTTCACTCTAGTTTTCACCGCTCCTTCTTCTTCTTCTTCCATCTCGCTGCCTTTGGCTTGGCTACTTCTGCCTTCTCTCATGGTGATCTCGAACGGCGTGTAGCTTTTGTGGCTAGCTACTCTTTTTTCACTAGCTCTCTTCTCACTTGATTGCTGCTCCCCGTGAATTTGCTTCAGTGCGTTTCGCTGCAATGGTCAAAGTTTGTTCCTGACTAGGTGGGAAGTGGAGTCGCGCCATGGATTTGGGCTTGGTTTGATTCCCTAGCTTTCTCCATTTCCTTTTTTTTTTCTCGGCATTTTCCCCCCCTGGTTGCTGCAAGCGTAAGGGAGTTAGGGTTTTCGAATTGGGAATTTCTGCAGTACGGAACTGGAGGCGATTTTGGGAAAGTGAGAAAGAGAAATTTGAGTTGGTTGTTTGTGGTGGCGTGAGGGTTTGAGTGAGAAGACTATGTGCTGCTTGCATTGGAAGGTGATTGAGGTAATGCGGATCCCAGCTCTTAGGGAGGATGGTTTCATTTAATTGATTAGCGATTTTTTTTTTCCGAATCTTTTCTTCTTTCTGGTCAATTTTTAAGTGAATATCAAGGAAGCCCGGGCCAAAAAAGGGCAAGGATAAAAATAAAGAAAACAGAAAAAAAAAAACTAGGAGCCGGGAAAGTGGAAGATGAAGCTTTCAACGTCAGGGTTGAGTCAGCAGGGTCAAGAAGGTATCTTCTTTATTTTCATTTTTTTTTTCCCTAGAGGGTTAATAATTAATTTCCCAATGATCTTTGTTTTCCCGTATGAGGTTTCTTTGTCCTGGCTTGCCATTTATGCCGATTTTTGAGGTTCCGGTGTGATGATTAGAGAATTTTAAAGTGATCAAATTCGGCTCTGTCATTTTCGTTCTCTGCGTCATACCCTCCAATACTGGTTCTTCATTCCATTGTGGATATAATGATGCCAGGAGAGAAGAAATGTTTGAATTCAGAGCTGTGGCATGCCTGCGCTGGACCACTTGTGTCCCTACCCACAGTGGGAAGCCGTGTGGTCTACTTTCCTCAGGGACACAGTGAGCAGGTCCTTCTTTCTTCTATCCCCTAGTTCATGCCGTTTGTTCTGAGAATAAAAGAATTTGAAAGGAACAGTTTGGACTAACTAGTTGCACTACATGGATTGCAGGTGGTTGCCACTACTAACAAGGAAGTTGATGGGCACATTCCAAATTATCCTAGCCTGCCTGCACAGTTGATATGCCAGCTGCACAATGTTACCATGCATGTGAGTGCTATATCCCTTCTTTTTCGTGTGAAGTTCTACTGGTTCTTTCATCTTACCCATAAATTTAGCTGGAACCAGTTTAAGTTAGGATTGTTGTACTCCTCCACTTTGAGTTTTCCGCGCTCATACTGTCTGCAAGTATTATGGTGACTCCCTCTTTATTATCTCACGAAAGATTGTATTGCTAAGTGATGGACCTTTGCGCGAATATTTAGGCAGATGTGGAAACAGATGAAGTGTATGCCCAGATGACATTGCAGCCTTTGACTCCGGTAATGTGGCATCTTTGTTTCTCAACATAACGTTTCTTTGAAGTTCAATTGCAGATTGCTAGTGCATTCTTATGTTAGTCTGAGTGCCCTTTCATATCTGTCATCATTGAATCCACAGGAAGAACAGAAGGATACTTTTCTTCCCATGGAGTTGGGTATGCCTAGTAAGCAGCCTACCAATTATTTCTGTAAGACATTGACAGCTAGTGATACTAGTACACATGGTGGATTCTCTGTCCCTCGACGTGCTGCCGAGAAAGTCTTCCCACCACTGGTAGCATCTTTATTATGCTCTGACACATTTAAACTTGATGCAGTTATTCTTTTCCTGATTTCTTGTGCCAATCATTTTGCTGTGCAGGATTTCTCACAACAGCCGCCAGCTCAAGAGCTCATTGCAAGGGATCTTCATGATGTAGAATGGAAATTCAGGCATATCTTTCGAGGTTGGTATTTTTGTCTACGTTGATTGCCTGTATTCTGATGCAAAGCTCAAGTCTCAATATGTATAATGCCATGCTTAGTGCTTACTCTATTTGTGGAAATCTCATAAATCAGCAAACACTTGAATTTATAACATGAACGAGGAAGTTCTTTCTGCAATCACAGCAGTTATAGAGGTGTGATAGCATTGATCACCTATAATTGTTTTATTCCTGTCTTCATTAGAACATTTACCGGGATCTTCATCAGTGTCCAGGGAGGAAAAAGTTACGATATGGCCACAAACTATGTTCTATCAAAATCTGCCATGTTTTCTGTTGTAGCTGCATAGTCTGGGCATTGTATTGTCTGATAAAAGTTGGTCTGGGCTGTTGTATTTCAGAACCTATAGATGGAATTAGTGATGAGCTCTGTCACTGCCATGGGAACCTTTGCTCTAAGTCTGTACTTGTCACCTGTAACCTATAGATGGAATTAGTGATGAGCTCTGTCATTGCCCTGGGAACCTTTCCTCTAAGACTCTACTTGTCACCTGTGGCAGTTGCTGCCCATTCGAAGATGTTTTGCTTTTGACTTGATCTGTTGAAAGTTCCTGGTTAAGCATTTGTGTTTTGCTCAACTCCATTTGTGTTATCAGTATTAGTGCTTGTCCTCTGGGCTTTGGGCTTAATGTTCTATTGTTTTTATGGGAGTTAACAAAAGAATACTGCGGTAGTGCCATTAATTTAGTTCACAAGGATTTGATCTTCTACGATTCTGAGGGGCTCCCTAAATTTCTAATGCCATCGTGGAAATGTTATCAATATGATGTACCATTGCTGATGCTAGAACTAAAATTAGACTTGTTTAACTAGTTTTGCATGATAAGGCAGTCTCTTATTGTTGCTTGTCCTGTTGAAGCTCTGGTGTACTTTTTCAATCATGCTAGCAAAGTAGATGTGTCATAGAGTAAGAAGTTTCTTATGTATTATCGACTGACTTCATCTTTGGTTTATTATTAGTTATTGGACTCGCCTCTATCAATATGCATTTCATTGACATCATGCCTAGGAATCTAGGATATTACCTTCAATGGAAGGGCTGTCTGGCATAATACTTAGCGACCGACTTCATCTTTGGTTTATTATTAGGCTATGGGGACACACCTCTATCAATATGCATTTCATTGACACCATGCCTAGGAATATAGGATATTACCTTCAATGGAAGGACTGTCTGGCATAATAATTGAAATTGTGAAATTTTAGTGGAATCCGCCAGGATTTAGACCTGTAGTGATTCATTCTATTGTTATTTTATTTTGTTGTCTGCTTACTCGTGATATTGTGTGAATAGCCAACAAAACCAATCAAGTCTTCTGTGGGATATCTAACAGGACAGGGGTTTCTTAGATGAATCCTCTTGTTTTATGCTTATTTGAATGTGGACTTCTTTCTAGAGGGAAAGTGTACATTCATTTAACTTCTTGGTCTGTTGTCTATTAGTTAGAGAACCCTGAGTAGCATAGCATTAAAGCAGTTGCTTTAAATTGTCGTACTTGTAAATAGATAATTTTGGCAAGTGTTGCATTCCGAGTGATGTATCGTATTATAGTGTATTTTCCATGGAGGATGGTGTTTCCAAATGGTGTACTGTGTTAACTCTGGTTAAAGGTTGCATTTCTTGCTGCGCACATTCCAGGACAGCCAAAACGTCATCTACTTACAACAGGGTGGAGCGTGTTCGTCAGTGCAAAAAGACTTGTGGCAGGGGACTCGGTGCTCTTTATCTGGTATCCCTGTACAGAAGTCCAATTTTCGAAAGTTAATTTTAGTCCTTTTGATAATATCAGTGTGCTCTATCTATTCGGACATCCCAATTCTTATCAGATGGAGGGTGGGCCTATATCTAACTTATTCAATGTCATTAGGAACGAGAAAAATCAGCTTCTTCTTGGAATTCGTCGGGCTACTCGGCCACAAACTGTGATGCCTTCATCAGTGCTTTCCAGTGATAGCATGCATATTGGACTTCTTGCTGCCGCAGCTCATGCTGCAGCAACTAATAGCTGTTTTACAGTTTTCTACAACCCAAGGTCTTGAACCTGCTTTTTCTTTCTTCTTTCAGTTAACTTGTATTTCTATCTAATATGTCTACTTGATGCAGGGCTAGTCCATGTGAGTTTGTAATACCCCTTTCCAAATATGTGAAAGCTGTCTATCACACACGTGTTTCTGTTGGGATGCGGTTTCGGATGCTTTTTGAGACTGAAGAATCAAGTGTCCGTAGGTATTGTGGAAATTGATTGTTTATTTCCAGAGTGTAGTTTAGTGTTTTGTTCTGAGAATGAGTATTGCTTTGCATAGTGCAAGATCAGGATATTTTCATTTATTCACTCGAGCATATTGATAAATATGGAAAGTTAATATAAAGAAGTTCAATTATGCTCATGAGATGGGCACTTTTCATGCTACAATTATTTATGTGAATTTAATGTGTCCTTCCACTGTTAGATTAGGCTTGCAACTTGAACTGCATCTGATAATGAGATTTCAGTCAGACCTGTTCCTTATTTGCTTCTGAGTTTACTGAAAAGAATGTGTCAGGAGAATTTTGTTTTACTCTCCCTTAGCTGCATAATGATTTCTAAGGAGCAGTTATATGTGGGTCTATGTTGCCGCCACTACAGGACTTGTTTTGTTGCATTGAATGCATAGGAACAATTATCGTCTCACCTTAAGAGGTCTATTTGTTAGGTACATGGGAACCATAACAGGCATAAGCGATCTGGACCCTGTTCGTTGGCCTAACTCTCATTGGCGATCTGTGAAGGTAATTGGACATAATTTGTATTAGAATTGTTCCAGTGCCTTTCATATTCTCACTATTAGATTCTTTCTCTAGATTGCAACTGGCCTATATATTGCTTCGTATGATTTGCTTTTTGCTATTTAACTAGCTTATGAGTGTTAGGGACAAGGGTACTGATCTTAAGGGATTTGGAGTTGCCCATTTTGTGCTGTTTCTCATTCTGTTTGGCCACTGGGAGAGCAGGGATGAAACCTATACCTTGAGTAAAGCATTTTTGTGTATCTTTCATCTCTGTGAACTCTCCTGTATTGCATTTCCATGAAATACTCCATAAATGCTCGAAGTTTGCTTAAGAAAATTACATTTGAGAAAAGTTTGTGAAGTGGTTTGTTGCGTGGTCTCAGCATTATGTCTGGAAAAACCCAGTATGTAGTAGAATATTTTGCATGTGCTCACTTGATGTTCTCTTGTTAAGTTTGATCCAAAGGATGACATGATGTTTGGTGTTCTAAACCTAATCATAGTGTGCTTTCGAATTGTAAACCAGTAATTATAATAAATTCCAGACAGGTGTAAGGTTACTTGATGATTAGTTATATGCTTTTCAATGAGAGACTGAATTAGGTTTCTGGAACTTGTAGAATGTACTATAAACAATGAAACTGTTACTCTTTTCTGAAGCAGCAAATTCATGGATGCAACTCTTTTTATTCCTGACTTCGGCAGTTCAGCTTGGTTTACCTTTGTCATTTGCCTCTACATTCAGGTTGGTTGGGATGAGTCAACAGCAGGTGAAAGGCAGCCTAGGGTGTCATTATGGGAAATAGAGCCTTTGACCACTTTCCCAATGTATCCATCCCTATTCCCCTTCAGATTGAAACGACCTTGGCATCCAGGATCCTCATCTTTTCCTGGTAATCATGTGACACTAACCCTCTGTTTGGTTGTTATGTGGCACGTGGTATCGACTTTCTTCTTACTCATGTTTGTTTTCTTTTACCTCCTGTACTGTTGCGACTACTTGAGAACTGAAACTGCTGTATAATTAGCAGCGGAACTACAATTTCTCTTAGTGTGAATGATAGTTGACTATGCACTTGGTAAAATACAAATAGAGATCATAGAAACATGAGCTTGTGATATAGCTACACATAATTTCAAACGGTTAATGCAAGAACTATAAGTAAAGGACCAGGTTCCCCTATGATATAGAAAAGATCATTCATACATAGCATAGTTCAAGCGGACCCACTTAAAATCTTTACTGAACTATGACCGGCCATCATATTAGCAAATAAGCGTATTCCTGAGCTTAATGCGCGAAAACCAGTGGCGGAGGGAGGTGGAAGGGAGTGGGGTCCTAGGACCCCACTTGGATAAATTAAAATGGTTAAATGTATGTACATACTTACTTAATTTGAGTAGATTTAGAATACAGGACCCCATTCATATGAAATTTAATTGTCCTAGTATCATGAAACACATAAATAAATTAGACTATATTGATCATATATCATTGAAAATCCCCAAATTTATAGTCCTTATTGTAAAAAATTCTGATTATACTAAATATGTATACAAAAACCTCTAGCTATATCTAAAAAGCTCTTAGTTCATCAAACTTTTCTTATTAATATACAATTTCTTTGTCATCAAATGTGTTTTATAAAACGTTTGTATGTATTAGATTTTGCTTGAGAACTATTTATTTTAGTTAGTTATTGAAATGTCACTTTTCAATTATGAGTTACACAAAATGTAAGGTATAAATCTAATAACTAATGGTTTGATCATTGATGAATGACTACTTGACTGAATATTTTTAAGAAAATTTACTTAATAATTGAATACAATGTTATAATTTTTTTTCATATATGGGACCCCACTAAACTCGAACCCTGGCTACGCCACTGGCGAAAACAATGAGGGATTAGCTCAAGGAGTACTAAAAAGGGTGCTAACGGCAGTGGGACTCCTGCGGGTAATGAGAAGCTTAAAAAATGAAGCCCGTTTTTTTGAAATCCCACTATAGTAATGCCAATAAAAATGGAAAATGAGAGACCCAAAGTAATGAGAAAATGACTTGTTGTAACCCTTCTGCATACTTTCCCTTTGGTGCGAACTTGTCTAGTCTTGTCCGCCTTGGCATCTGGCAATCTTCTCAACAGCTGCTAACTCAGAACCCTAGTTTTTAAGCCAAGTGCATTCTTTGGATCACTTGTTTTGAACTTGTATGATCGAGATAGTACATAAGCTTGCCTTACCTTATTTTTTCAGGTAACTAGTGGGGATTGTAATTGGCCAACTACAGTTGTGCTGGAAATATTAAGTCCCAATGCAATTAGTCTTGTGATACTAGTATCTTTCATTTCATCTCATTTGACTGGTATTTTTAATTAGAAGAAGCCTGAACTTCAGATACTTTTAGCTTTTTGCGGAAATGCTGGAAGAAAATTTTCTTAGAATTCACAGCTTAAAAGTAGGTTGAACCGTTGAACACAGCTTTTCTGTTGGAGAACTTGCTTAAGCTCCTATAAGTTGTATAAACATAGTTTGCCAATTGCGATTCTGGAACTTTGCTGATGGTCAAAGTGAAGCTGAAATTATGAAAAACATAAATGGGAAGTACTTGATTGCTTTCGTTTCGGCTACGCAGAATCTAAAAATCCAGTTCCTGGTTGTGTTATTTGGCTTTTTCTTTCTCTGACGCAAGGTTTATCCTGCAGACTCAAGAGATGAAAATGTTAACAGCCTAATGTGGCTGAGAGGTGGTGCCGGGGATGGTATTCCTCCTATGAATTTTCAACCTGTCAACATGTTGCCCTGGATGCAGCAGAGGGTGGATCCATCATTGCTTAGGAATGATCAGAATCAGTGGTACCAGGCAATGCTGGCAGCAAGTTTGAATGGCACGGGAAATGGAGATCCCATGAGGCAACAATTCCTGCAGTTTCAGCAGCAGCCTCCTATGCAGCAGTATCAGCAGCATTCAGGCAATAACTACCACCCTATGTTGCAGCTACAACAGCAACAAGCGAACCAACAGTCAGTCTCTCCTAATATTCTCGGTGCGCACAATCCAGTCTCAAGTGATGGCTTGCCCCAGCATCTCCTACAGCAACAGCAGCTCGGCAATCAACCAGACAATCAGTCCCAGCAGCAAGAGCCTAGTTACCAAGATCCGCTTCAAATTCAAAATGACCAGCTTCACAGAGGGCAGTCAAGTGTGCATTCTCCGTCCTTCTCCAAGACAGACTTAATTGACCCGAGCACCAAATTCCTGGGATCTACAAGTACTATACAGAACATGTTGGGTTCTCTGGGTCCTGAAGGTAGTGGCAACCTTTTGGACTTGACCAGAATTGGTCAGTCGTCTATGACTGAACAGCTTAACCAAGAACCCTGGGTTCCGAAATACACACAGGCACAAGTGAATGCCTTTACAGGTTCAATGTCCCACCCAAACCTCTATCCAGCTGACAAAGATTCTGCACCGAAACTGGGAAATGGTAGCATCGAGGCCCAGAGTCCAAACAACTTTGGAATGAACATTGAATCTTCTGGACTCCTCCTGCCCACCACTGTACCTAGAGTTGCAACGGCATCTTTGAGCGATCCTGATGTGTCATCAATGCCTTTAAGCGAGGCTGGGTTTCAGAATTCTCTTTATTGTCAACAAGATTCTTCCGACTTCTTACCTGGTACAGGGCCGGTTGAGTCACTAAATGGAGGGCCAACATTTGTCAAGGTTTGAATCTTGGAGTTGAAGTTCTCTCTATTCAATGTCCATTTGAGTTTACTAGTACAAATGTGGGTTGCTGTTCATACTGATGGTAGGTACTTTTGGCGTAGGTTTATAAGTCCGGGTCGGTTGGGCGGTCATTGGACATCTCCCGGTTCAGCAACTATCATGAGCTGCGGGAGGAACTGGCACAGATGTTTGGAATCGAGGGGAAATTGGAAAACCCTCATAGATCAGGCTGGCAGCTTGTATTCGTCGACAAGGAGAATGATGTTCTTCTCCTTGGAGACGGTCCGTGGGAGTAAGTAAAAGCGGCCCTTGAAAAGAAGCCCTCCAAATCTATTCGATCGTGTTGCTATCCAATGTTTAAGGATTTTGATTCTGGAAACTATTTTTTGCAGCGCATTTGTAAACAACGTGTGGTATATCAAGATACTGTCACCAGAGGATGTAGTGAAGATGGGGCAGCAAGGGGTAGAGTCGTTCAGCCCCAATCCAAGCCAGAGAAGCATCAGCGGTGGGCCTCCAGACCTGGCGTCGGGCTCGTTTGGATACTGATGATGATAGCAGACAAATTCTCTTCACAAAGCCCCTATGCGAGCAGATAAATATAATATGTAAGCGTTTCTGTTCTAGTGAGTCGCTGTGTTTCCACTGTTCCACTGTTTGTCTCTGCTGTGAGGTGATTACTTGGAAGTTGGAAGACTCCTTTTAACTAAGTTCACGCCTTGTGGATGCTTTGACTTGTATGGTGAGCATCCGAAAAACTGGTACCTGTATAGACTTGTAAGGCAGCTGCAAACATAAAGTGCTTTCCTAGGCAGAACTCTTTCTCTTGGACGGTCATGTGGTGGCAAGGGAGACTTAGAAAGTTCAGTATGATTCTGTGCTTTGCCCGTTTCTGACTTGCTGTATGCCATTGGCGACCAAAGTCCTTAAAAATTTATGCAGCAAGTTTTTTCGAGCGAGTTCTCTTTTCGGTAGAAGATTTCCCAGGAAGGTTAGTTCTTACACGAAAGAATACGTGTTCGAGTGGCTAGAATAGTTACTGCTCTGCTGAGGCAGGAAAAGAAGGGAGAGCAGAAAATATAAGGGGTCGTTTTCGGCTGGTCCACTCTAATCAGCAAAGCAAACTTAAAAGCCCAAACTACAGCATGGAACTTAAAACCAGCCCAATTATCGGATTTCCAAATCCTCCCGTGTAGTAGCTAGGGATGGCAATGGATCGGGTTTTGTCTAACCCAAACCCATAGGTTTATTCGTGAAAAAAAATCCGGGGTAAAACCCACTGGGTTTGAAAAACTCAAACTCAACCCAACCCGTTGGGTATCCGTGGGTTCATGGGTACCCACGGGTTTTTGTCGTAAAAAATTTACAATAAGAAGTTCCTATCAAAAGTAAAGTCAAATATCAATCTCTCAATACAAATTATCCATTTATAAAATACCATTCTAGAAAATTCAAGCAAATCACAAATTAACTATACAAATTGTTCAACACCAAACTAGAAAACTCAAGAAAATTGAAGCAAATCACAAATTATCCATAAATAATATGATTAATTTAAAGCTTATTCCTTTCAATTAAGTTTCTTCACTCTCCACTCGATAACATCAACTTCATTCTACACAATTTGAAAGAAAAAATTAGACATGTCTCCACAAACATAAATAAGATTAGTTGTTTAGAATAATCAATATATCGAGAAAATTAACTATATGGGTGTGGACGGGTACCCATGAGCCGGGTTTACCTAAACCCAAACCCAACCCAACTCGGTAAATAGTGAACGGGTTTAAAACCAAACCCGACCCAAAACCCGTCAACACGGATTTTACCCGCGTTGACCGGGTTGGGTCGGGTGGGTACCCGTGGGTTCGGGTTTTGTTGCCATCCCTACGTGTAGCGCCACCGCCACCCGTTGCATGATTTCGGCTGGGCCACTTCCCAGCTTCTTGTGAAACCCTGTTGTTTACACCTAAGGCATTGTTTGCTTTAGGGTTTTCATCGGGGATTTGGTATACAAAATCCAAATCTCATGGACTTGGAACAAAATTCATAGTTTGCTTCAAGGTTTTAGAAGAGATAAATCTGTGGGGCCCGCAGACTTTAATGGTCCAAATTCGTGGGCCCCACGGACTTGCAAATTCCATCCCTAAGAGGTGGGATTTGGGTGAGGGTGGAAAGTCCATGATGGGACTTTACTCTTTTATCCCCATTCATTTTATTAATGACAAATTTGCCCTCTTTAATTTTGCTAACCCTTTAGACTAGAGATACCGAGAGACCCGGAAAGGAGTGGGAAAACATGAAGGAAAAACACGAAGAAGATGGTAGAATGTGCTTGGACTTAACAAGCATAGATTTGTGAGAAAAAGAAAGACGAAAATTCTATGATTGTAGGGTACATCAACTAGTTTAATGATGTGTGCTAAGTTGTATTTGCCTATTTGGAGTAAGTGGGTATTGGTTAACAAACTAACAATTATTGAAGCACTTTGTTTAAAACTGAAGATTAGTTTATGCTCAATATTTCAAATCTTCTATTGATTTCATGTTTGTTTGCATATATGATAGCTTTGAGCTCTTGAAATCTTGGAGAGGTACGAAGAAATTCTAATCGACTTTGTTTATATGGAAACAATAATATACAAATAATTATAAACAAGGGCAACAAGGTCAATGGTATCTCATACCCACTAATATATTTCAGCAAAATCCACCATGAAATCCAACAAGCAAACAAGGTTTTGGTCCGAATCCATAATGAACCAATTTCATCATAAATCCTTGGTTTTATAAAACCCAGGTTTTAGCCAAATCCTTCATTTTTCAAATCCATGAAGCAAATGAGCCCTAAGTGATAATGAGCATGTACATGCTTCGATGTGAGACATCGGTCTATCGTAAGAGGCCATGCCATGCCATACCACAAGATTAATAAGTGCATGCAGGAAGGAGGGCCTTGTTCGTCAAGAAGGTCATGACGTGTCACGAGAGGGACCATGGACACTGGGAAGAATTCCTGGTCTCGTGAAGAGGCCATTCCACGATAAGTGTATCTCAAAGAAAAAAAAAATTTACCAAGTCTAAAAGGTCCATGCCACATCTCATGAGATGCGTCATGGAGCATGAGAAGGTCATATGTGGTGTCATGGCAAGGGGCAAAGCAGTTAAAATCGGGAATTTAACTAAAGTCGAAAACTGCGGTAAAATTGGAATCGTAAAATCGTAGGATTTTAAATATCATATAGAACATAACATATAAGAATATTCGTAAGGTAAATCACTAATAACACAAAGACACATAACATTTAAAATGATAATTCTCAAGATTTTTTTACAGAAGATGATTCTCAAGATTAATGTTCCAAAATTACTATTTTAATTGTTATTTAATGCGTAACTCAAAATAATTCACGATGAAGGGATAGAGTACATCAGGTTTGGCTCTTGTTTTCATGTTATGTCTAGGTAGTTTAACTCAAAAAAAATATTCCAACATCGTCTACTAAGTATGATTTAAAACTAAAACTAATTGAACTTCAATAAAATAAGTAATGTTAGTCGTTTGGTATAAATATATTCATTAACAAATTAATTAGTTAATAATGATGTTAATTCTTACATACTTTCAATATTAGGACAATTTTTTTACCAATAAGTTAAATGGGGCGAAGGGATTAACCAAGCCCTAATTTTTTTTTTAAATGTTTTTCTAATAGAAAAACATCTGATAAGATTCCCGTCATTGCCCTTTCCGCCAAAACAGTTATGCTTCTTTTAAATTGGCTCAAACCACCTATTTTGTTCTCATACGATCAAAATCTCGATTTTGGTACGATTTTACGATTTTAACGATTTTAATCCTGATTTCAACCGATTTTAAGGTCCACTGATTTTATAGTAAAATCAGGATCATAATCGCTAAGTAAAATCCTATGATTTTATGATCAAAATCCCGATTTTGACTGCATTGGCAAGGGCCATGGACACGACTAAGAAGTACATGGACGGTTTCAAGAGAGGTACCTAGCTAATTGAGAGATGAACTGCTACTCATCCCACGTTCATGGGACACGTTAGCCATCTTCTGAGGAAGCAGGAAGTAGGAAGCAGTTCCTTTTCGAGTTATCCGAGGAGGTTTCCATGACAGTTATCTACCCATGGCTACAAATAGGAGGAAGGGTCGACCAAGAGGGGTTCCACAACCAGACAATTGACGCCTACGTCAAACTTTACCCTTTTTCTCTGCAAGTAGCCATAGTCGTAGTTTGGAGCTCTCAGTTTCCAAAATTCCATCAATCAAACACCCTCGTGTGAACTATGATTGAATAGGTTTGAACCCTCGTATTTTGCCAGTATCGAGGGAACGTATCTAGGGGATTTTTGCCTATGCAACACCTCTCTCTTCTGCTTACAATGTCTCACTCTCAGAGGTGGCCCTTGAGTTCATTTGCTTTCGGATTAATATGGTATCGATAGCAATATCAATTTTTCCTATTTTTCGGTCCCCGATTATAAGTTCTCGTTGACCACGACCTATAGGAACCAAGCTATCTACGACTACCTTTTAATAAGGCGAACAATGTAACTTCATCGTTTCTTCAAAAGAAACCAATAGGCGGTTTGGTTACTGGTGGACGACTTCTTCCTGCAAATGTTCGTCGTTAATGATCACAGGTCTACCGTGGTGGGCGACTACAAATAAACATGGGGGTCACATAACAACTGTTGAAGCCATAAACTTCTGCTGCGGCAATGGCGAGTGCACTATATTCCACCCCTGTACTAGACCGCTTTTCCATCGATTCCGCAGCAGAACGAGATGCTTTGTCATCTAATACTTGAAACAACTTTCTACTTTTCCACTCTGTAATTGGGTTGAAGAAAAACTTTCATTCACTAGTGTGAAAGCCCTTGTATCATGGTTAGTTTTTGGCTTGCTTCAATGATAGGGGTGGCGATTGACGTGGGCAACCAGCCCAAACCCCTAGATATCTCAAGCAATCGTAACAGAGTATCCAATCGATTCCCATGTTCCGATCTTTCCATTTTTTCCATCCACTCGCCCATTAGTTTAGGTATTTTTTCCTTGCACTTTACTTTCTTTTACTTTATGTTTTGCAAAACCGGAGGCACCCTAACACCCTACATAAGCTTTGTTTCAACATTGAACTCGTCTCTCACCACCTGAGTAAGTGGTTGTGAGAGACGGTAAATAATACAATCCTGAACTTCGGGTCTAGTTTATTTGGTACTGCAGCTAGAAACGATATCAAACATGTCCCTCACCAGTCACCACTTGAGTAAGTGGTTGTGACAGATCCTAGAGAATATGATCCTAGTCTTCAAACCAGATAAATTTGGATACACATAGTACACAATCATAACCTAAGTAAAACCTCACATGATGAGGCAACTGTTCATTGCACATGGGTTGATAGCCATAAGGCACTAAGCGATGAGTGGTGGTCGATAAATTGCTAGAACCCTTATTTTCGAGCCTTCCTAGATAATAGGGGTGAACAAACACACCCGCAAACCGACCCATCCAACCCGACTCAACCCACCCGTATTTATCGCTAAAACGAAAGTTTTGGGTTGGGTGAGTCTTTTCTTTTGTACAACCCGCCTCCTTTGGGTTGGGTTTGGATTTTGGATTACACAACCCGTAGAACCCTACCCAACCCGTGTTCCAACTATTAGTATGAGTTCGGATCTAAAAAATATTTATGTCGTATATAGTCATATACTTATGAGAAATTTAAGATATTTCGGCATGTTTTTCTCTCATTTTAGCATTTTTAGCCTATTTCAACAAATATTGTGAAAAAAACAAGACATATGTTGAAGTAGATCACATTTTATTAAAATTTAAACAACATTTGTGAATTTTGATACCTTTCACCTCGGTTCATTCGTTTGAAATTTTAATTAGCTATAAAATATTTTTATGATATAGAATAATTATATATTTTATGTTGGGTTGAGTTTTTACTTAAAAATATCGTCAACCCAACCCAACCCAATTAGAAACAAACCGTAGGGTTTAAATTTTTTTGGGTGGGTTTGGGTTTGATATTTCCCAAACCGTAGTGCATGGGTCGGGTGATTAAAATGACTAAACCCGAATCACCCGACCCATGTACACCCCTACTAGATAAGAGTGCCATTCGAGAATGTTAGTAAAGGCCGCCGATAAAGCTTGCAACACCCTGATATACATTGACCTTTCTCATGGACTTGATAGAGGAGGACAGTGGCGGATCCAGATTGTTGAAGAGGGGTGTCGCGTAATGAATGAGTATTGGTTATAATTATTAAAGCGGTGTCAATAATCTCGTATTAAAATTTTTTGTACCAAAAAAATATAGGTTCTTCATAAAATTTTCAGGCAAAGGAGTGTCAGACGATACCCCTACGCAACACATAGGTCCGCCCCTGGAGGAGGAGTAAATGATACTCCTGCTTGTGTCACGAGATTGACAAATTAATGAAAATTCCCTTTAAGTTTTGGCAAAAATGTAATTTAAAAAAATTAAAGTAAAGATGGGGTTGTTGAGAAGAAAGAAAGTTCAAACGAAATTCCCTCTATTTTTTATTTTTAGAGTCTCTCCATTCACATTATTTTATTCTAGATATACCGTTCTACATATTACTAATATGAGACAATGTCCTCACTGACGTGGTTAGGTTTACTTGTTTTCGGTTAACCTCATATGCTGCTAGTAACCCACGACGGCACTACCTTAGATTATAGTCAAGTGTCATCATGAGTATTTAATGAGCTGCACAATCTTTTTTATAATGTTTGTTTGAGACAAGCAAAAGCTAAAGTGTGAGGTTTTGTGATGACAATTAGTGTTTCGTATGCCTTTTTCATAGAAAAATTTCCAGTAGTTCAAGGAAGAAATACCTCCCAATCTCCCATTTCACTTAGTGAAGTCATACCACTAAAGCTTCGTCTCATATCAGCCCTAAACATTCACGTCTCGCTGGCCAACAAAACATCAATATCTCATTCATTTCGGCCGGCGGCTTTGATTGAAGAACATTGCAACACATGTTGAACCCTTTCTCAACACATGTGAACTAGATAAAATTAGTGTTATTGATTTATATCATTTTCAAATTACCCAAAAAAACAAAAAACAAAATTTATTTTATAATTTTATTTTTTGGTTAATTTGATAATGATAAATGATAGAAATTAGGAAAAAGTTTGAATTTGATTTTTTTAATAATTTTTATGCTGACGACGCAATGACATGGCATGTTGACTAACGGTCAACGATGTTGAGTGTCCAAATTGCTGGTCAAACCATGTCTCGGCCCAATTTAGTCTATATGTTGCATAGTCGAGGCCAGAATGTTAATTTCTAAAACCACGGGGCCAAAATTGATTATATGATCATAACTCAGACCAAAATAAGGTATTAACCCTTAATTTTTCGAATCCAACATCGAACAGACCCCAATGCGATGGAAGCATGTTTGCAGACTAATTAAATAAAAATGATAATCGGTTTACATAATGGGAGTGGCTTAGTTTAGGGTGGATAACGGGTTTAACAAGAAAGAGTTGACAGTGGGAGGGTTAACTACCCACTCAAGTCGTAATGATGGTTTCTCTTCAGTCCTCATAGCCTCGGAAAGTGAACGGATACGGGAAATGAAAACCGACCACCGACTGCCTTTGGGCCATATATCATCATGTTATATAAATAGTGTACGTACCATTAATTACTATATCTTGGGAGTTACGTGAAGACGCAATTACAGGAAAGTTTGAAACTTTAACTAAACCACCCTGGTGGCCAGAATTGTTGCAGTATTTGATACGACAGCCACCAAGATTTTTGATTTTTGTGGGTTTCTCTAATTTTTTGTAGCTGGCGTTGGGTCGGAATCAGGCTTAAGCTTAATTAAGTTTGGTGTTCACTAATTTTTAGCTTCCTCTGCTCCCTTTTACGTCGTCGGGTCTCTGTTGGATTAGCAAAGAGGAGAAATGAAGGAACATAAGGGAAGTAGTTAAAGTTGAGTGGTGTTAATTAATTAGCTAGCTAGTTTGGTGGAGCAGAATGAAGGAAGGAGAGCCACTTGACTTGATTTGGACTTGTTTTGCAAACAGAAGCAGACAGCTACCAATCTCCCAAACTTTCCACTATAAATTGCTAGTGTATCTCCAATTCGATCATCTCTTCACTTCACTTAATAACATTCTCATCTCATATCTCTTAATTGTTTGTAATCAGTGGAGTCATTAATTACTAGCAAGCTACAGTGGTTTCACTGAGTAGCACAAGCATGGAGAAAATCCACAGCAAATCCAATCTCAAGGTCTCTCTCATAATCATCTTTACTCAACGTCAAATTAAATTCGATCCCCCCCCTTTTTCTCTCTTTTAATAATTAGTTTAATCATCCTCACCGTAATTAAGTTTAGTTTGGCCTTCAATTTGTTTCAAACTTCTAGCTAACCGATCGACTTCTCGTACCATCCTATCCTTTGGAAATTAGGTGAAGAGCACTGCTGCAGCTGCAACTGCAACTCCAAGGGGAATGGTGAGATTATATAAGATCCATGCTTGGGTATAAATCGTTATTAGAATATAGTGTGTTAATTTTCATCCATTTTCAAAGTTACCATTATACCTTATTCATGTTTAACACGTGTTGCCCGAGTACTTCCGAAAAGATAAGTTTTCTTTTTTTGTCGGGGGAAATTGACTTGGGAAGAGAGAGCAGAGAGAGTTTACGCGTGTCAATGGTGGTAGATCGGGACAATCGAGCTCAAACGAAATTGGACATAACCCGGCGGCGATAGTAAATACTGATCAATACTTATAATAAAATAACTTCATACTATTTGATCAAAATTTCAATTCTAAACAAAATGACGATGTTTTAGTAATAGTGTTATTGGTTTTGGCAGAGAAATAAATCGACGACACAGGTAAATAATAGTGTTATTGGTTTTGGCAGAGGAAAGAGGAGCGGGCAATTGAGAAGCCAAAGGCGAGCCCCCCAAGGGCTTGCTCGAAAGAGAACACCAAGCCACAGGAGTTCAAACTCCATTCTCAAGAAAGAGCCATCAAACGTGCCATGTTCAACTATTTCGTACGTCATATATATAGCTAATTATTACCGATTTACCTAACCATATTGCAATTCCATATGGTGTAAAATTTGCTAGCAATATCGTTTCATTTGTTGGTTAATCATCTTTCTTTTCAGGTAGCAACCAAAGTATATGTTGAGGAGCATGAGAAACGGCAACTAGAGAAACTGCAAAAGGTTGAGCATAATATACACAATAAAGTAATTAGTTTAAGAAACTACTAACCAATTAAATGAACCGATTCACTTAATTACTTGGCGGTGATCAGATGATTGAAGAAGAAGAGGTTAAGTCGCTGAGGAAGAAAATGGTTCCAAGAGCCCAATTGATGCCATTTTTCGACCGACCTTTCTTCCCACAAAGGTAAGCAATATATTCATCGATACCCAACTTGGATTTGAACCAAAAAGTGACACAATTAATCTCTCTCCAGCCGTCGGTTATTTTGTTTGCATCAAACATCTAACTTAAACAGCTTAATTATATAAATAACTCAAAAAAGTAATTGTGGTGGTATATTCTGGCAGATCAAACAGAGCGCTGACAATGCCAAAGGAGCCGAGTTTGAAGAGCAGCAAGTGCATGAGTTGCGTTGCTGAGAATGGGATGTTCCACTTTCATCACCATCAGACTTACTATTAATACTTTTATATGGATAATAATTCTCTTGGGGTTTTTTTTTTTTTAATATGTATGTATATTGCGGTTTGGGTGTAGAGAGTAGCAAGTTGCAAACTTTTACTAGGGTTTGCTGCGTACGTAGTGGTGCACTTTAATTTGTCTGAGCTGCCCAACAAGTCGCTTGCCCAATTAGTGACTTCGGTTTGTTTTGTTTTGTTGTTAAATAAATAAAAATCTACTTTTACCATTTTTGGTTTCTCTAACGGTCGCCAAAGGCTCGTGCCAACAAATATGTTGTCCAAGGAATTGGTTGTAAGCTTTTTTTGTAAGTGGTTCATTTAATAGAAAATGGGCCAAGTCGAGAGGAAAAATACATGCATCATACAACTAAGGAAAGGAAAAGCAGACCTGAAACTCAAAACCCTAAAACGACTGGCCAGAAACAATATAGGGCCCGACCCAAGAGCCCAACAAACAGAAAAGTCCCCTAATCCTAATTGCACAAGCTCCCTCCTACAAACCACCACCGCCGTTGGCGCCCCCTGCAACCTCCTCCGCCGACAGACGCCATGGACGCACCAAGAAGAGGGGGTGAAGCAACCACACCGGATCGAGGGGGTGAAAGAACAACCGGAGCCATCTCCGGCAAACCCTCGCCAGTCCAAACTCCTAGAACACCTCGATCCCCACAAGCATCGAGATAGCCTTCATGAAGAATGGGCGGTCAATGACAAAGCAAGAGGAAGATCTTCTATCTCCAAGATCATCAAACCAAGTCCAAAGCAGCGACCACATCTCCGAATCGCCAAGATCTACAAGGCAAAGCAAGAAGGTGGACGAAAGGCATGAGGAAGAGGAGACAAGCTGGACTCAGTTAAGTCCAGCCTCCTTTGCTATCAAGATCGATCAAATCATCTCTAGATATGATAAACATAACAGAGGAACAGAACATCTCTAGATCTGCAAAACGGAGGACCAAAATCTCAACCCACAGAGGGGGAGGAAACATGCACAAAGGAGAAAGAAAAGGCTAAATCAAAGCTGAAAAATCGAAGAGCAGAAGAAAGTGAAAACCCGAATGAGAAGAAGGAAAAAAGACATTTTCTGCTAATTATTTCAAAACAAGAATCACCTTTCCTCAACAAGTTGGCAAAGGAAAAGTAAGCCTGCTGTGTGATGTGGATAGTGACCACCAGGGTAGGAATCCCTTCATTTCTCACGAGACTGTAAATCTTGTATGAGTGAAAATACTCGTAGTGTTCTTCTGCGTAGATGCAAAACACTTAACCAAATCATCTCCTTATTAAATGAACTTTTCTTTCCATCATTCTTGATGGACCTGTCTTTCAACGGACTTCATTTAACATGTTGCTTTTATCGAAAAACAATTAGCCACACCAAAAATGCATAATAAACACATTTCATCTTCTTCTTTACCCGAGAAGCTACAAGGAAATGTCAAGGGCAATGCTTTTGTGTTTTCTACATATACCACAAGCACATACAATCACCATTTCCACGTGGTCAATTAAAATAGCAAGGTAAGCACTTTTCCCACTCCTTTAACAGGTTCATATGTGTTTCTTCCTTTATTTTCTACAACCAACCATTGCACTTCATGGATTGGTTGGGTGATTTTGTTTTTGGACACTCAACCAGTCCTTGCACTAAATTAGATTGGAAGAGAATAAAAACGGCTAAATTACACATTTGGTCACTCGAATTACATAAATATTTCACGTTTGTCGCTCAAATTACTTTTCTTTCATATTAACCACTAACTTTACGATTCGTTTCACCGTTGGTCATCCTCCGTAAGTCTCCGTCAGACTCCATTAACGCCGTCAGATTTTTGATGACGTGGCAAACGGAAGTGCTGACTGGACTGACAGAGAGGCTAAAAAAGACGGTACTAGGATGCTGAAGTGGAATGGGAGGGAAAAATAGCCATTTTCCCCCATTTTCCATTTTATCTTCTTGGGAGGGAAAAAAACTCTTACCCACCATTAAAACCCTTCTCACCTCATTTTTGTTCTTTCTCATCCATCAAAATTCCTTCATCTTCTCCATCTTAATTATTCTTCCACTTTCCTTATTCTTCCTTCTCCATCTTCTTCCTTCTCCTCCGCAACAACTTGTGATCTTTGAAGGTTATCGATCTAAGCTATGACTAACACATATTGTAACTGTGGGTACCCAACAAGTTTGATGACTATTTGGATCGATGCAAATCTAGGGCGGAGGTTCTATGGATGTGGCAAGTTTGGGGTAAGACCATTTCAATCTCACTTCCTTTTGTGCTTTTATGTGCCTTCTGTTTGGGTTTAGGTTCTGACCATTCCCCTCATTGTGCTTTCTTCTGTAGACGAATGGAGCATGCAATTATTTCAGATGGTATGAACCAGCTCTTGATGAGCATATGCGAAACGTTGTGCTTAGCCTCCATCGTCGAATTCGAGATCTAGAGAGAAGAGAACCAAGGAGAGCTTACAAAATAAGTGTCAAAATGGCTTGCATCTTCACGGTAATAGTCATTGTATTTGGTTTCATCTTGTTGGGAAAATAAGAAAATGTTGCTTCACTTGTATCACTAGAATGTTGTTTATGTTTCAATTGTACCATTGTAATGTACTTTCAGTTTCATCTGTACCACCAGAATGTTATTTATTGTTCACGGAAGTCACTACGAAGTTTTTTATATTTCATCTGTATCACTATGATTTTGATTGCATTTCATGAATGCCACTGCGTTGCTGGTTTTCTTTCGTTTGTATCACTCTGATATTTTCTCTTTGATATGTAACACCTTGTATAGAACAGAACAATACATAAAATAAATGCAACCATAACCTACTGAACATGAATTTAACCAAAAGCCATAAACTTTACTGAACACCTGGAAATGTTTTACAGCAACCATTAAACTACCATTGTTGGTCCCCCTAAAGTTCAACAATCTGTTCGACATACGATTACAAGACAACCATTCTGCTTGTCCTAACCAAGCACTACAATATACATGAATGGCTTCAAAATATTCAAAAAAAGTCATTCAGCTTGACCTAACCAAGCACTACAATAGACATGAATGGCTTCAAAATATTCAAAAAACATCCATTCAGCTTGACCTAACCAAGCACTATAATAGGCATGAATGGCTTCAAAAGTCTACACTCTACTCTTCACAGATTGCTCCTATGTGAGTCTTGGCTTGGTTGCTGGGACACTTGACTTGCTGGCCTCTGGGAACTTCCCTGCAAAATTAAATTACATCAGTAGGCTTATAAAAAAATATTGAATATGAGAAATGGAAATCAGAAGACAAAATAATAAACTTATACATCTGCCATCACTTGACTTGATGCTTGTCTGGCAGCCTTAGCTTGCAACTTCTTCAATACCACTAGCATGTTTCTTTCTGCCCTTTCAAGTTGTTTCCTTCTCTATATATCTTCCTTTTCCTTCTGTTTTGCTTCTGTCCTCTTTTTCTTTGCCAACTCCTTTGCTTCTCGGTTTTGATGAAATGTCTTGCTGTGCCCAACTTCTCCGCAATCAGTACACTAATACTTCTTCTTTACTGGTTTTGCAACTTCTCTTTCAGGACCCTTTTGCCTCTTCTTACCAGAATCTTTTTCACCAGCTTCCTTTCTTATAAATTTCTTTGGCCTTCCTCTCTTAATAGAGTCACGAAGTGGAGGAACTCCAACGTCACCAAGTTGAGACAAAGGCCAATACTCTCTACCAGCCGTTGGTGATATGGAGTTCTCATAAATTCTTATGCACGAGTCCTTCGAGTAACAACCAGCCACAAAGTCGTATACCCTACGCTTTGCCCTATGAATTGCTTGAATGGCATGCTCACAAGGGATTCCAGTAAGATCCCACCTTTTGCAAGTACAATGCTTTTTTCTCAAGTTAACAACAATTTGCTGATTTTGCCATCTCACCTCAAACTCCCCGTTGCCGTTTGATTCAGCAGACCACTTAAGAGCTTCTTGTCCTAGAGCTTGCAACTTCTGCTCCATGTTTTTACACAAAGGACCAGCCCACTTTTTGGCCATACGCCGTCTTTTGGCATATAGCTCCATTAGCCTCCTCCTAATCCCTTCCCACATGCTAACAGGACCCATATCCCTCTCATCGACGATGACATTATTCTAGCTCTCAACCAGGTTTTTCATGTCCATATCTATTAAAACGAGACACTGAAAATGCGACCTGGACCAATGGTAGAATGGCTTGTCGACAAGCCAATCATAAGAGAGCTTGTTGTAATTCAACAGGCTTCTCATAGCAACTTGGAATTCAGAGATAGTGGTGGCCCTAGCTGCTTCCTAGAATAAGTCCTTAACCCTCTTTGATGATCCACATGCAGCACTTAGATTGGTCACAAGATGCCTGGTACAATGACGCTTCTCACTAGAGGGAAACACCTCATCAAGTGCTGGCATTAGACCCGTCAGAATGAAAATTACAGCAATGGTTAACACAATTTTTTTTAATTTACAGCAGCAACAAATAAACAACAAGGCAGCAAGAATGAGTAAAAATCGCACCTTTTGCTTGTCGGAAATGAATGTCCATCTAGGATTATCATTAATATGAAAATCGGTTCCCAGAAGCTCCATGAACCAAACCCAATTATCCTTGTTCTCCACCTCAACATGAGCAAATGCGATGGGAAAATATTGATCGTTCGCATCAATACCAACGACAGATAGCAGCTGACCACCATAATCATGCTTGAGGAAGCATCCATCGATGCATATGACTTGCCTGCAATCAGCTCTAAAACCTTTCATTGATGCCTCAAAGCATACATACATGCGATTGAACACTTGTTCTCGTTGCTCAACTACAACAGTGGAGTTTGGGTTGCTCCTCCTCAACTCTGCAACATAATGATATAATCTTCTGTATTAGTCCCTAATAGATCCACAGACCTTCTCAATTGCTGTCTTCTTGATTCTCCATGCCTTCATATCACCAATCTCCTCCCTGTGATCTTCCTTCACAATTTGTTTCAGCAACTTCTTACTCATATTGTGATCTGCTGCCATCTTCTTAGTCATTTTATCACCCAAGAACTTGTATGTTGCATACCTATTTTGGAAGGTTAAGGTGCAATCTGGGGTGTGCTCCAGTTTACACCTAGTGATCTGCACAACATCTTCATCCCTCACCTTGGATGCCCATATGTACCAATGACATGGTGGCTCGCACATCACTTGCAGCCTCTTACCATCACTTCCTTTAAAGAATATTGGCCGTTTCTCAATAAAAGAGTATTGCTTGAGTGCATCCTTCAACGCACCAAAGCTGCTGAATTTTTGAGAAATGGCAAAGGTTGGCTTCTCCATGTCTCGGTCCACCCGAAAATCTGGAACTTATGCAGCATCAGATTCGTCCTCCAAACTGTGGATAGATCTACGATCATCTGAGTCTACGGGATCAGACTCCTCTTCATCCACTACTGCATCACCAAGGCTGTCTTCTCCTCGACCATCTACCCCCATATCAGCCTCCACGTATAAATTCACATTCTTCTCATAGTTTATATCATCACCAATGCTAAGATCTAGCTCAGAATCGACCTCAAAGTCACTATCTTCATCCTCTCCTTCATAATCACTGCCAGCATCTTCGACCTCACCTACTGTTACTTCCTTTTCTGCAGGTGGAGTTGCATCTTCTTCGTCATCACTACCCATAAAGTCCAGTACTTCATGCTCAGCCAGAGCATACAGTTCAATGATCCTAGGAGCTTCATTAGCTGCTTGAGCCATTTACAATAAGTCTTCATCTCTGGTGATCTCTGTCATTGATTCATCAAGAGAAGCTTTCCAATA